AGCTCTACAACCCTATGATCTCGAAAATGAAATCCAGGAGGGTGGCAGATTTGCTATCTTATCCCGCGGTGTCCTTTCGATTGAATATGTTTTAACCATAAACGAGCATCATCCCTACCATAGAATGATTTCACATGATGACGAAATACTTCTAATAAAGATGGTTTTTCATCACGTTCTGTTATAGTATATTCGCCAAGTGCAGGTGATTTATCTTCAATAATTGTTTTCGTTAATAATGATGAATTTTCATTAGAATCTCTTGTTGTAATTTGTGTATTACATTGAGAATCAGTAACATCAATTGATTCAACTTGATTACTTGTATGCTCGTTCATCATAATTAAGTATGAATTAACAAAACAATTAATTATATGTATAAAGTCACTGCAGGGTCGCCAAGTTAAATGTACTGTCCTCTAAGATATGTTGTTTATTGTTGAATATCTGTGCCATCGGACACACTGTGGAAGATATTATCAGTTAATCTGCTCGTCCTTCACCTGTTTCTTTCAATCTTTCTTCTGTTCTGTTCTTCTTCGTGGCATCTATATAAGACGATGTTCTGTACTATATGAGACACAACTGGAGTATAGTACAACGTAGTGAATTTCATCTACACACAGAATAGCAATAACGAAATAATATTCCATCTTCATTCTCGCTTCTTAACACGTACTGATAAGTCGTATTTTGTCTTTCCTTTCTATTCTCTACGTTATATAATCACGCTTACACTGCGTGATATATTTTCGTACTAAAAGTTCATAATTATATTTTGGATAATTACAATATTAATTCCAAGTTGATGACTGATATACAAAAAATGGTGATGTTACTGGTAAATCAATTACTGTACCATTATCAACTGGTTTTAATCAACAACAATGTCATTGTCAACATTCTATTAATGCTGCAAGTGAAAATGTTCTTTTGAACTCAAGTTCGATTAGTCATCAACATGCTTCTACTAGTGGAACTTCTGAAGTGCAATTAGTTATTTCTCCAACACGTCCATCACGTAGATGTCTTTCTAATGCTTCTAATGATGGTGATTTTCAAGATGTATCTTATAAAAAATCAAAACAGATAAATAATCAAAGTGGTAGTACAATTCGTCTTCAATTATCACATCATCATAATGTTACTGATACAGTTAATGATCATGTGAATATGAATTTAAATGTTAATAATCATGTTACTACTACTTCATCATTAATTTCAAATAATTTTACATCAGGTCATAATCAACAGCAACAATTATTAACAACAGCTTTAGCTCGTTATGCGTTGACACATTTTCCTTTTCCACCACACATAGTTCGATTTAATTCTACTAATGTTTCAATTACTCATTTTAAAGAAGAGGTGATCAAGCACTATAAATCTGATCATAATCTTAAGAGACGGTTTCTGAGTCAATCGAGCATTTTCATATATAGCCGTCATACAAAATTTTTCGACCCCCCCCCCCTTTTTGAGTATTGCAAATGAAAGAGCATGTAAAAATACATTTAATTCCAAAATTTTAGCCTTTTTGAAGTTACCTTTATATGGATTTAAAAATCACCTTTTTACTTGGTCAAATTGATTATTCTTCAAATTTTTGATTTTTTGAAGTGTTTAGTATTTAATTATTTTCTCCCCCAAAAATTATTCAATTAAATCGAGTAATATGTCAAACGATAGAACAAATCAAGCTCTACAAAACTGTATATTTAAAATATTTTTAAAAAATTCTGAAAAATGTCTATGAGGCAAAAACTGTCGAAAATCACCCCAAAAACCGTCGATTTTTTCTTAAAAATTGGGGTGGTTTTTTAGTATTTTTTTGATAATTTGGGGGAAAGAAGTTCAGGCCGACAATAATTCTTTATGGATTCGATAGAGCGGAAGAAACTGCACAAGTTACGCTCAAAATAAACCGCAAAAAAGATGCACATAGTGTCCGAATTTAGCTCAAAAGATATTGAAATTTTGTCATTTTTATAGTCATTTTTCATAAAATTGTTAAGAATTTTATTTTTGAACAGTAATTTGATTGCAACTTTCTTTCAACATTAAGATGATTCAATATCGAGGATTTAGCTATTATTTTAACGTTAGTTAAACAGCTCATACAAGGAAAACTTATATGTACAAATGAGTTTCTTTTATAGCTGTCAAAAATCTTCCAAAACCAATACTATATAACATCTTGTACTAGCGATACGAAATCAATAGTTATATTATTATTTTTTTAATGCATAGCTGTCTTTGTGTTAATATTTATTGCGCATCTATTCTTCATGATGCGCGAAGGAATGTGTTTTTTCTCTTTTGTAAAAAGCACGTAGCATATTAGTATTCAATAAATGCCTTTATTCCGTTCTCACTCGATCTATAATCAGTTATATTTTACTATCATTTTGTGTTGTGCACTTATTTTTTTGGAAGCATTCATACTTACGTGATGACATCAAAAATTCAATGTTTCTTCAAGGATGAATCTTGTACCGAGGATTTTATAAGTTTTCGTGAGCTACAACATGAACGTTTTTCAAGTTCAACGTTTCCTGGTGCTCGATCGTGTATTGAGATCATGCTAATACGAGACGATCGATTTTATCTGCCAATTCTTCGTCTACACAAAACGTATGTTTGCACACGACACAAGGAAGAATTGTTGAAGGAATTTCGAAGATCGACATACCGAATTTGTAGTACGTGTGTGCCTTGTTTTGAAAAATCAAAACCTTCTGATGTTGTTCAAAATATCGCTGCATCTATTGCACTTACTCTGTGTGAAGAACTACATTTTCGGCATTTATATGGAAAGTTAATTTGTCGTCGTTGTCGAGAAGCAGTGATGAAACGAATGGATCCGGTAAGATATCTTTACTTGTTACTAAACAGATCTACTGATCTAGTTTTCATAGATTAAAATTAGTAATCATCAATCGGCGTTTCAAAGGCTTGACGCTCTTATTTGGAGTGATGTGGAATCAGAAGAAAGTACTGGTGATACAGAGTTTCATTATTCTCCCACTTCTATCACACCAACATCATCCATTTATAGCGGTCCAACACTCTAAATAAAATCCGTTTCCAAGAAAACCAAAATGGGCTCGGAAACTTTCTCGGAAACCCAAAAAGGTTTGCGAAAAGGTTTCCAATTATTTTATAGGTTTCTAATAATACCTTTTAGGTTTCCGAATGTTCGGAAACCCATGAGTTTTCTAGAATACTAAATTCGATGCTCTAAAAGTATTCTGGAATACCTTTTTTCCGTATCGGAAACCCTATTATCATCTTCGGAAACCACTTAGGTATTCTAGAAAACCCATGTTGCAAAATAAGTTGATTTGGAACCCGAAGCAGTATCCGAAAATACCTTTTTTGGTTTTCGAAATATTCTATCGGAAACTCTTTTGGTTTCCGAACTTTATGTACCTGAGAAGGGTATTGTAGAAAACCTATATTGGTTTCAGAACTTCATGCGTCCTCGAAGGGTTTTGTAAAAAACCCACATTGGTTTCCGAAGTTAAGGAAATGTTTCCAAAGGTCCTCACTGTAAGCTAACCTAGCGAACACTATTTCGGAAAAAGACTACTTAATGCTGAAATATTCTTTTCTACTCTTCATCTTTCTGAACTTTGAAAGATTTTTACGCAACATACAGTGTCAGTAAGTTTGGCATAAAATATGTTATTATTAGTAAATCATCTTGCGTATTAGTATATTGTTGAAATCTAAAACCGTTTCATATTGTCGAAATATTCCAAACTTATCTTTATATTTTTAAACACATCGAAACAAATATAAGTATCCAAAAAGAAATAATTCTGACAATTTTCAAAAAATAAATAAAATAATGGCTGTAGTACTATGTCTCTATTTTATGTTTTTTTATATAAATGAAATTCTAATAAAAGACTGATTAAATCCAATAATCAATAGCATTGTGACACTTTGGATAGTATGAAGTCGAAAAAATATTCTCTTATAAAACAGTTATTCTAAAATTGTTCGATCTCAAAAACCATAGTCATAGCATCTGAAATCCAGTGAGCCATTTTGACTTTATCAACAAGAATATAAAAAGCTTATTGTCAGTTGTATTGTATGTTAGAATATTCGTTAAAGTATCTGTTAAATGAACAGTGAATCATCGTTCTAGGATGTTATCGTTCTTTTCCATTTTTTATCGCACTTATATTCTATAGTCGAATTAAAATCAAATATCAAGCCTCTAACATTAAGATTAATTTTTAAGATATTATTGTGGTGCCATTAGCTATTTTACTTAGATTATAGTTGAATGTAATGTGTCGTCATGTGATGAGGATTGGTTGAAATATATTTAATCTTATTTAACAGATGCTTACATTAATAAGAAATAAACAAATAAAAGAACGTTAACAAAAACAATTGTTTTTCTCTATGCTAAAGTTATTTATATCTTGATTTTTATAGATGAACTTCAGTCAACCATTTAAATGGGAAATTAATGATGTGTCCGCTTGGTTGCGGACATTTATATCCAATGATGAAGTAATTAATATATTTAAGAGTGAGTTCTACAATGTACATAATAGTTTCTTTTTTCACCTTCTTCTTTATCGATTTCTACATCGCTGAGTTTATTTTATTATTCTGTTTTATATTGCATGATATATAGATAATTTTTCTCTTTATTGTAAGATTGAATAATTTAACTAATTTACTATGTCTACTGACATTTTTTTGTGCAACATTTGTAAAACAGATCGATCATTTAACAAGTTTCCAGAATATTTTCGACATATAACATTATATCATGCCAATGAACCTAATTTTAAATTAACATGTAATTTATCAGACTCGTGTGGTGTTATGTATAAAACGTTTACAGCATATAAAACGCACGTTCATCGATATCATAAATCATTACTCAATTCGTCATTTGAACAACGCGGAAACAATGACACAGATGATATTAATCAATTATCTTTTTTGCAACCTGATACAACAGCTGACTGTTCAACCATATATGACAATAATGAAGACAACATTATATACACTGATTTAATGGATGATAATTCAGATGATAAATGGAATATTTTTAAAACAAATAATTCTTTTGATGATGGAAAAATAAATCTTAGCACGGTTCATCAACAATACACACGATTTTTACTTGAAATGAGAGAAGAACACATTTTGCCTCAAACAGTAATTCAATCAATTACAACACATATAGTCAATTTATTCGATATTATCATAGAGCTTGTGGAAGAACAAGCAAAACAAGAAAATTTAGCTGAACAACAACCAACAGCAGCAAGTATTTCGATTGATGGTTTACGTAAAACCATAAAGAAAATTGAACAAGCAATTACTCTTTCAACACGAAACGAATATCAATTTCTTCAGTCATGCAAAAAGTTTTTTGATTATTCACCTCCAGTAGAAAATATTCTTTCATCAAATCAATCAAAAAATGAACAATCGTATTATATACCTATTAAACATTCATTAAAAAAATTTTTACAAAAAGATGAAATGATTCCACTTTTAGTTGAAAATATTCGAAGTCAAGCTGCGCTAAATCATAGTGATCGTGATTTGATGTTCTCATTTAGAGATGGGATTAAAGGTGAAAAAATCAATAAACAATCGTTTTTGATTCAATTATATGTTGACGGTATTGGGGTTACCAACCCTTTGGGATCTAAAAAAGATCAACACAAATTAACACTAGTATACTTTGCATTGGAAGATATACCAGATATATTCCGATCTACATTGCAGTGTATTAATCTTGCATCTATTTGTTATACTAGATATTTAAATAATAATGAAAAACTAAAGAAATTTTATGAACCAATTGTTCAAGACTTAAATGATCTACAAAATACTGGTTTAGTTATTAACACATTCAATAGTCAAATCTTGTTCACATTTACAACAATTGCTGCTGATAATCTTGCAGCTCATGAAGTTGCCGGGTTTCAACTAAATTTTAATGCCGGTCATTTCTGTAGGAGGTGCATGGTTTCATACGAAAATCGTCTGATACCATTAACCGATATTCATTTTATTCACAGAAATCATCTACAACATCAACGTTATTTACAACTTATTGAAAATAATGCCGGCATTAACTCAATATTAGGTGTGATTGGACGTAGCCCTCTGAATGATCTTCAGAATTTTGATCCTACTGCTTCTTGCCCTGGTGATGTTATGCACGACTTCTTCGAGGGTAATCATTAAAAAGTTAAAATTTAACTCTGCAATTTTTTTCTTTTCATTTTAGGCGTGTGCCCGTTGATTGTTATGGCTATGCTGAAAGAAGCATCACACTTAAGATTAATGACTTTTGCTGCTATTCAAAAAAGAACAGAGAGTTTTGATTATGGTGAATTAGATACACCAAATAAACCCCCACCTGTACAAATCAAACATATAAATAATGATCGTATCACTGGAACAGCAACACAGAAGTATTGTTTATTTCGTTTGTTCCCAATCATCTTCTCGGATATAGTGGAGCATCTTAGATTGTTTAAACTATATTTAGTTTTACGTGAGTTGTTGGACATGGTATTAGCTTTACCTCAAAGGAAGAATTGGTTACCTTTCATGGAAACATTAGCAACTAATTTTCAATGTATGATGTTAGATCTTCTTCCTGGTAAAGCTATACCAAAAGTTCACTATGTAACCGAGTATGTAAGAACTATTGAGGAAAATGGTCCATCTATAAAGTATTGGTGCATGAGGTACGAGGGTGCACATTTATATTTCAAGAAATTTGCTATTCAAAGTTATAACTTTAAAAATATCCCAAAAACATTAGCACAACGACAACAACTACGTCAATGTTTTCTACTCTCAAAATGCCAATTTTTGAACATAGTTAATGAATCTCGTGGGAACAAAATCATACACATGCATGAAATAGATTCAAAAGTCAAGTTACTTCTCAATCAACGATACGGACAAGATTTCGTTCAATCTGATCAGACATTTATTCAATGTTCTCAATTAATTTACAATCATATTATATATAAACAACATGCCGTTTATGTTTATGATGTTGAATATGTGGAGGAGATTCCATTATTCTTCCAGATACTTCACATATTTAAAGTGGACCAACAATGGATATTCATTGTAGACAATTTGAACACTGATGGTTTCAATACCAAGTTATGGAGTTATAAAGTTAGCTCATCCAATCGACTGAATATTATTTCACCACATGATCTAATATATTACCATAAAGGGCTTGATATATATAATGTCGATCATCTGCATGTTGTTAATTTAACATCGAGACTAACAAAAAAACAAGCGTTTTGAGTAGATAAAATAATGTTTTCTTGTGTCTTTTTATACGTTCTCATATCTAACAATAAGAACTTTTAACAACTTGAGAAGATTCAATTTGAAACTTTATTTTAACCTTGTTTATTCTTTTAGAGCAGCAGGTGGACGGTGAGACATTGTTCTACATGAATAGTGTTGATCGATTAAAACCATTCAATTTATCGTACAAACATCAACTTATCTTTTTGAATGAAAGAGAAAAGTTATTTTTGTCAAACGAAAATCAAGAAAAACCAATAACACTATCAACTCCAGATGATTCAATGTTGCTGGTGATCGATGACAAGGAAGATGAGCAACATGAAGATGAAAATGATACAACTGAATCATCAGTAAACTCGTCGGTTATTTCAACAAAAATAACAACACAAGACACACCAAAAGAATTATCATTTCCTGATGAATATTTGTTGCCGGTGTTGCCAAATCAAGTAAATGATGCAATTAGTTTGAAACAAATGGACAAATTTGAAAAACTCTGTAATTTTCGATCGATTATTATCGATGCTGTTTTTCATGATTTGAAGAATAAATATAATTTGCTGTGAGTATTATAAAACTTTAAATTACTTTTATAATTTTGTTTTTTTATTAATGACTGAGTATTTTTCCTATAACGTTTAGAGAGTATGATTGTGTGAGAACTAGAAAAACCAGTGGACTGTAAGCAAAGTAAAACTAAATATAATAGACTAATATTCGAATCAATTTCTTTGATTATATACTATACAATGTAATTAAGATATTCATTGCTATATTTTATTCCTTTCATAGCTATCCAACAAGAGCACAGTATACAATTATTGTTAATGGAATATTGAACCATTTGAATGTTGAGTTGGAAACAAAAAAAGTGGTAAGCTTGAAAATTATTCACATCTAATATATTATATTTTTATTATAGAATTCTTGGCGTGAATCTTTAATTTCGAAATATAAACGAGAACGACAAAACTCAAATGATGAACGACGCGTTGAAATGAAACTTAAATATTCGAGAGAAACATCAGGAAGAAAAATAAAACAACGTCCCATTACTGAAATGTCAGAAAGAAATGTAGTAAACAAGGTGAGTCATACGAGTTAAAATTCAAGAACGTATATATGTATTTTTTCATAGATATTACTTGCAGAAAATATATCATCTAATAATGAACAAATGGCAGCAAAATCCGAAACAATCAAAGAAGATTTTCAAAATAGTTCATTTGATTATGAAAATCTCAAGCAATTGTGGTTGGAAACGTATGAATATCGACAAAGTTTTATTAATCAAAATTCAATTGCAGATGTAATGGAACAATTTCCGGCTTATTCTAATCCATTGATGGTAATAATGAATTTGAAAACTTTCGTCATTAAACTGTCTTTTCTAGGTATTAACAGATGTTAAAATATTAAAAGGAATAGATGTGGATATTTCTGTCAAAGAAAAACTTGATCTACTTGCTGGTAAAATTTGTTCTGGTAATCAATATATAACAGGTAATTTTAAATTAGCATATTTGGAACTATTATATATTTTTTTATTTAGATAGTTCAAGCATTCGTTGTTTTAAAGTATTGTGTGGTATATTAAATGATTCATGAAAACACTATATTTATTTTCATCCAGAAGTAACTTTTTTAAAAATTCACTGAGAGTTCTTTCAAACATAATAGGCTATGGGGATATACATAATGTTCTCCGACTTTTCTTTTTTTTTTAATATTCAACCTTGCTAAAGGGATTCGAGGACTTAATATTCAGTTAAGCTTATTTTGTATTTATCCGCTGATGTATTCAATCACAATCACTAGAATTATTGTTTTATTGAAAATTTATTCGATTGAAAGGTTATCAATTAAGTTTTAGTATTATTTACTCAGGTGCATCTCTCTTAAACGATAAAAATAATATATGTCAGTCTATTGACTTTAATTTCTATCTTCTCATTGACAATAACTTTTCTCTTACGTTTCCAAATTATAAATGTCTGTTGGATAATTTAGCACCTTTTTCCTTTTTTTGCTCATTAAATATATCTTATTTCAACTTTCCTTTCGTTATTTTTTAGAAGCCAGTTACTCCTCAACCATCAATAGTAGTTGAAGATGATGGTATAAAAGTTTATCTTGATTGGACATGTGTTTGTTCATCTTCATCTATTGAACAGTCTCTTGGTATAATTGTCAGTCTATATTGCATTATGAATCTCAAATTTCATCCACATCGTACAGCTATAAGATTTCTATATGTCTATTTCTTAAATGAGAAGCAACATCAGTCAAATTTTATTCGAAAGTTTTGTAAAGAATACAACATTGAACTTCAAGATAAATCTTCATCATCACCAATCGATCGTCTTGAAGAAATAGAAAATGTTGATCCACCATTAAATAAAGAAACTGAACAAGATGACGAGAATTTATTTATTGACAGGAAACAAGATAGTCCTATAGAAATGACAAATGTGGTTCAAATAATTCAGGCAGAACCAATGTCAATTGATCCGCAAATCAATCAAAAAAGAAAGTCAGATCAGCTAGTTGATGAACAAGCATCAGATAATGAAAATGCTCCACCAACAAAAAAAACAGCTCGACCAACGAAAAAACCAACTGAACCAACTCGACCAACTCGATCAACTAGTCGCAAATCATAATTAAAATGAAAAAGCAAAAAGCAGAATGAATAAGACTTTTTCAATGCTCCTCTCTATTTCTTATTAAAATGAAGGAATTTCTTTTTCACTTCTTACACTAAAAAAGATTTTCATTTCCTTTTTTTTTATGTTCTTTTATTGATAGAGAAGCCTTATTTTAATTGTAGTTTTTCGATAGGAGTCAATCATTAAAACATACCTATTCTTTACTGATACACGTTTTTCATTTTATAAAACTTTTTTACTCCTCATCGTTTCTTTTAATAAAAATTTCTGGTGTTCATTTAACAAACCCTATCAGATATTACCGCTTAGTAATTGTAACTAAACTATAATTTGTCCTCATCTTTACGCGACATTGACGATAACTAATATATTTTAAAAATCAAAAAAATTCATATTCCACTTTTTCTCTTTAGATTTCTTTTCATTCCAAGATATTCATATATTTGGTAAATTATGTTTCTTTCAAATTAAAGATATTAATATTCTACCTTTTCTATTTAGGCTTATATTTTTATTCAAAGATATTCATGTTTAGTAAGTTATATATCTTAGAAATTAAAGAAAATAAATCTTCTCCTTTTTTTTATTTAGAATTAGATTCTCATTCAGACCTATTCATGTAATTGGTAAGTTACGTAATTTAGAAAATTAAAAATAATTAATCTTTTTTTGTTTAGGTTTATATTTTTAGTCGAAGATATTCATATATGTGGTGAGTTATGTAATTTAGAAGATTAAAAATAATTAATCTTCTATTTTTTTATTTAGATTGATATTTTTAGTAAAAGATATTCTTATGTCGGGTAAGTTATATAAATTAGAAAATTAAAAATAATTATTCTTCTGCTTTTTATTTAGGATTCAATTTTCGTTCATTGATATTTATACACTTGGTAAGTTATATAAATAAGAAATTAAATATAATAAATCTTATGCTTTTTTATTTAGAGTTAGATTTTCATTCCAGCATATTCATACGCTTAGTAAGTCATATTTCTTAAAAATTAAAAATAAAAAAACCTTCTTTTTTATTTAGGGTTAGATTTTCTTCTGAAAATATATACGCACTTGGTAAGTTACATAAATAAGAAATTAAATAAATCATTATTCTTCTTTTTTATTTAGGATTTGACTTTTGCTCAAAGATATTCATCCACTTGGTAAGTTATACATTTTAAACTAATAATTATGATTTTATTTTCATTTATTATAGTGGTTCTTGAGGAATTTCGCAAATCTTTGGCCGAGAGAACCAGCTGTACGTAGTATATTATATGTAGGTCACGGTATGAGTGTGATGCTACAATGGCAAGGTGCATCACAGAAACTAGATATTTTCAGCTTAGAAACCTTTGCTGAGTTTCTAAGCTGGATATCTGGTATTTTATAGGTATTGGTTTTTTACGGGTTTTCGGTAGTTCGGAAACGGTTTTTGAGTTTCCGAAGTGAGGGTTGTGTATGATATAGCTACGGGTTTTTAATGGGTTTCCGATAGTTCGGAAACCGGTGTTCGGAAACTCTTAACGAGTTTCCGATAGTAGCAAACTCGGAAACTCTTATTGAGTTTCCAAAAATACCTATTTTATTTAGAGTGAAATAATAAAAATAAACGAGCTGCGTTGCAAAATTTTATTCAGCTAATCCATCCTGATCGCTCTGGTCGATCTCTATTGGTTACCCGTTCCTATAGTCAGCTTGGTAAAGGAGCCAAAAAAAATTTTCTCTCGTCAATAAAAGCTGTTGTTGATATCGTCTTAGAGTTCCTTGCTGGATCTGATGCAAATGAAGTTCGTACAAAGCTATTCTCGGAAGACAACGGTAAGCTGATCTCACCCATAATCTATTGTTGTAATAGTAGTTTTGTTTTATGTTTTGAATTATAGAGAGAAACAAGATTGTAATGGATTCGAAACTAATGAATATTTTGTCAGCGATTGCTGAAGCATATAATAACGCTGACAATCCTTCGGATCGTCGAGCAGTTTTATCAATTGTGGCCAAACAAGTGAATTATAATCTTTTGTCATCCGTTATTCCAGGCTTGACAAAGTACCGTCTTACAGAAGCTCGTCTATTTGCGATAGAGTCAGGAAAAAGTGTGATAACAGAACCAACATCCTGTATCAATGTCCGCTACTCATCGGCTCAAGTAGAGCATTTTATTGATTTCGTTCTTAGTCCACACATCTCTTGTAATGTACCATTTGGAGAGAAGACATTACGACTTTCTAGTGGAACAGAATTCAATGTACCTGACACAATACGATCTATCAATTCTACACGAATTATACAGCAATATCATGAGTATTGTCATCAGATGTGTGCCAGTTTTGAACCATTGAATCCATCTTCATTGTGAAGAATTTTAAAATGTTGTAAGGCTTCAACACGGAAATCTCTCCAAGGTTTGAACAACTTTGTAGCAGATGGTATCGCTGCATTTGAAGAGTTGAAGAGTATTATTCAAAATCTTTCTATTGACTCAAATGAAAAGATGCGACTAGCTAAGGCAGTACAACGAGCGAAGCAATACTTGAAATCTGACTTTAAATTACATGTTCGTCCATCTTCAAGGACCCCTGATCATTGCATTCCATTTTCACCTAGCGAACGAAATTCCCAATTTCTTTCGTCACCGTGTGATCACAATCATGATGACATTTGCATAGAATGTACTAATCTTACAAATGTGCTTTTCGACATGAAACAAGCAATAAAGACAAATAGTTCAACACACCCTATCGATCGAACAATGTACGATTACGATGCGTCTGTAGAATATATACTAGCATGGAAGTCACATTTAATACGATGCGTTAATCAAGATCAATGTCGAATAAATATTATACAGAATATGTTAGAAAACAGTATATTTTTAACTTTGGACTGGGCAATGAAGTAAGTTATTTTACCGTTCAAAGGTTACGCATCTTGAGGGGTGGGTGTAGGGTGGGTGTAGGTGTGGGTGTGGGTGTGAGGGTGTGGGTGTGGGTGTGGGTGTGGATGTGGATGTGGGTGTGAATGTGGGTACTAATGAGAATGAGGGTGAGGATTCGTTTTGTTTGTTTCAATCACATCCACACCCACTTTCATAAAACGCATTTATTACTTGTGATATCGAGTTTTTCATATAAATATTTATTGCAGTTCTAGTAGGAATCGTACAGAATTAATTTCAAAGATCAGCGAGTATATTTCATTGATGAGACTAGAAGTGGTTTATATCGATCCATTTTCACTTTAATCATCTTTTTCTTTATCCAATAACGGCCTGCTGACTCTTCAGGAATCATAGTAATGTCTTCTGTTATATTGTGCCAACTACGAAAGTCATGTACAGCTCGATGACACTCTCCAACAGTATAATCATCAACGATAATAACACCATCAAATTGTAATTTAGCATATAAATTAAATAATTGATCCATAGTTGATTCGTACATATCACCATCCATTCGAAGAACTGCTATCTGTGAAATGTTACATCGTGGGAGTGAATCAACAAAGTATCCTTTGCAAAAATGAACGTTATCATCCAGCAAATCAAATGAACGAAAATTAGTTTGTACTTCTTCAAGTGAAACCTAAATAGAGAGAGTTACTTGAGTATTCTGTTAAAACGAAGATCCATATTTTTTAGTTATTCGAAAGAGCATTTGATGAAACAATGAGTGACTTCTAGATAATTTATTGAAAGTGTGAACTGATGATAGTACGTGTATTTTCCTCATATTCATACTGACACCTTCTTGAGGGTGTAGGTGTGAGCAAATAGAAGATATACACTCACACCTATACTCTTCGACCGTCACCCCGATCCACACCCACCCGTCACCCATCCGTTACTCACATAAGCACCTACTCGCACCCTCAAATGAAAATTTAATGATTAGATGACGAAATTTAAATACAAACCTTCAGATATTCTAATTTAGACCATTCATCATTGTCGTTTTTTGTTCTTGCTTTTGGTAATCCTTGAAATGAGTCAGCCAGCCATACATGCCGATCATTAATTTTCAATGCTTTAAGTACAGCACTAGCAAAAATTGAACTACCACCTCTCCATACACCACATTCGATAAAGTCACCTGGAACATCTTTAGCAATAACGCGTCTTAACGCCCATTCTATATTGGTCAGTCGTTTTTGTCCAATCATGGTAATACCAATTAATGGCCAATCCTCACCTTTCAGTCGTCTTTCGATATTCAATGGACTTGTATTATTAATGGTACCTCCTACAGTACGATCCTGAGTGCGGAGAGTTAACCCACAAACAGTATCGCGAACAACATCGAGATATTTACGAACAAAAGGAGATTCATCCGAAAATATAAAAAATTCGTTATCATCAGATGAATTATTAATCACTCGACGAATAATTGACGTTGCTGATTCTAACTTTAATGGTTGAAAACGACAGATATTTACAAGACCAGATACAAACAATGAAGAGTCGAATGATTTATTTGAAACGCTATATACAATAAAAATAAATACAACCGCACTACTCAGGACAACAAGTTGAGTAAACGACTGAACCATCCGAATCTTGCGAATATCTGTAAAAATATCTCTCACTTTATCAATGTAATGTACAAACCTATTGAAATCATTATATTGTACTTCGAGTTAATTAAAAATACTGACCATGGGTGTGGGTGTGGATATAGGTAACGCATTCATATTACATTTGCACTCATTCCCACTTCCGCTCACACCCACATCCACACCCATCCCATGCCAAACTCGAGAAAACGGCAAAATACTGCCATTTTGACAAAAGTCCTATCATGAGTTTTCTTCCAGTTTTTGACCTACAGAGAAATTTTTTGACACTATATCATTCATCAAAACAGAAGAAAGTTGTAGCCCAAACAGTTTTCTATCAAACAAGACGTTCCCGAGCTCTAACGATCAAGCCGTTCTTATGAAAATCTCAAAATACTGAGTACACCTCTTTGACACCTATTTTATGGGGTCAAAATTGACCCTTAAACTTGTTTTTCCTTCCATTTTTTAAAGGACAAACCAAATGACTTGATATTTTGGATTTAACAATGGTTACACTAGATCTATCTTTTAAGATAATATAATCGAAAACAAAATTTTTTTTCCCGGACACTCTAGTAAAGTAGGGTAGTCCTTTCGTAGAGGCTCTCCTAAGTATCTTCTTCAGTGGAAGAGAAAAATAAATCAACACAAAATAAGCAGTAGATGTCCATATAGTACGATATTTATTTCTGAGTGATAGCTATGACTCATGAAAAAATTTTCAGTTCGATGAATCTAAAAGTGTATTCTGCAAAACAAATCTATTTACGTTACAAATGACGCTCGTCCGCGGACTCGTTCAGCTCTTTCTCACAAAAATGCATCCTCTTCACATTTACTGGGAAAACAATTGAAACCCGCACTCTCTTTGGTTGTTCGTCCCTCTCAGCACATATCAGCATTCTACTTAATGGGTGGGTGTGGATGTGGATGGGATGTAAGTGGATGTGGGTGCTAGTAAGTGTGGCTGCGACAAACTCCAGCATGATAGACACACCCACCAACACCCTCAAGAAATGATTTCCATGTCACAGAATTTAAAAACGTTTCGTGATTTTGTACTAAACATTCAAAGCTTTGGTAGACTCTTATATTTTTCTTGAGGGTGTGGGTGTGGAGTCGGTGTGAGTGTGGGGGTGGGTGTGGGTGCGGGTGTGAGTGTGGGCGTGGGTGTGGGTGTTGATGGGTGTGGGCGTGGGCGTGGGCGTGAGTGTGAGTGTGGGCGTGGGCGTGGGTGTGGGTGTGGAGTCGGTGTGAGTGTGAGTGTGGGTGTGATGGGTGTGGGTGTGGGTGTGGGTGAGTGTAGGTGTGAGTGTGTGTGTGTTTTTATCTCTCACACCCACACCCACACCCAGTTCTACACTGACTCAGAAATCGTTACAATTAGTGACCTTGGCTACTCAATCTAGGGGTGAGAATTTATTGTTATTGTTATAAATAACAGAATAATAACGAATAACTTTTTTTCAAACGCTGTTTAAATCGAATATTATTATTTAATCTTGCCAAACTAATAGATTTCTATTAAAAAAAACACAAATTTCATAATTTGCGTTCAAAAATCTTTTAGAATTTAATGTAATTAATACGTGAAATTCAGAAAATTACATGAACTAATGTAAAACTTTTGTATTGGAATATCTAAAAAAAATCTATTTCAGCGAATAATAATCATAGGGTGATTCCATGGAGACCCGTCCACTTTTTCCGGAACGTCTTCTTTTTCGATTTTTTTTCACTTCAAAATGCCGGTATAGTTTAGAAAACACTTTTAATGAAAAAAAATTAAGTCCTTCCTATTGCAAATGTCGCGTTTTGGAGCAGTTTTTCGGAACACCTATGATATTTTGTTATATATAGGTGGCATTGGACGCAAATCATGACCACGTCGCTCAATAGACTAATTCAAAAGTAGTCCCATTTGAAAGAGCACATCGAAATGTGTCGACTAACATCAAAAAAATGTTTTTACTTTGAATTTTTTCTAATAAAGTTTTTTCAACAATGGTCTAGTCTTTTGCAATAGGCGTTAGTTAGAAAAGGTCGTGTCTAGCTGTTTTCAACATTAGGAATTGCCGTGGTACAAAAATAAACATCATATTCGAAATCAGCACAAAAAACTGCATCAGAAAACATATATTTGACGCAAAA